TTGGCTCCTCTGGTGTTAATGATACCTTAGTTATTGCTGCTTCATCTGTGACTGGTAAATCCAGTGGAGGATTGAATTCCATGGGATCTACTACATTCAGTGGGGGCTCTGTATCTAAATACAGTTGGTGGAAACACAGCTCCCTCAGTGCATATAGAAATGTCAGACATTCTCAGGAGTACAAGGGAGAATCTAGCAAGAACTAAGTAGCATGCTTTTTAGAAGTCCCACCACATAGCTAGATCATATGAATGATTTTCTCAAAACATTGGACATCATTTTACCTCAGAAAATTCACTCTGTAGCTCAGGAAACAAGGACTTCAGTGCTCTTTCAGTCAGTTAACCTTATGATCAGTAAACTATCTTTGGTAATCAGACATTGTAGTGAATATATTATACTATGAACATCACATGATAGATTGAAAAGCAAGGATGCCATTTCCTTTCAGCCAGTGATCCTATAGTCAACGAGTCTCTTGGTTAGTCCCATTGATTTTGAGCAGGAGGCTATTATTGGCAACTCAGTTGACTGTTGGAACTGTCTTTTGCCTCTTACTGCAGTATTTCCTTATTTAGCTTATCATAGACAACTATATAAGAACATTTAGTTCTTTCTACCTTATTAGATAAGGCAATGTGACTTGGGATAGCATCTTTGTCTTCTTTTGGATCATCAGCCTAGACTGAAGCCTAGCAAGACTTGGTGGTTAGGGTGTTTGACTCGCAACTTGAGGGACATGGGTTTGAATCCTGTTCTTGAACATGATCACCATTTGAGCTGTGGGGGCATTATAATATGGTGGTCAATTCCACTATTCGTAGTGAGTGGTGCTCAGTAGTTGCCTTCCCTCTAGTCTATCACTTCAAAATTAGCTTTTCAAAATTAAAAAAAAAAAAACAAGCAAGGCCCCAGACTCCTGGTCAAGCCAATGTACAAGAGATCCATCTTTGATGTATTGGACAAAGCTTATCAATGTGCTTTGCTCGCTTTTACATGGCTGATATTTGCTGTAATTTGCATGCCAATGGACCAGTCTGCCAGAGTACAAAGTACAGAATTATCCAGCTGGATCCAAGCTGCTCCTGTACTGCTGTCCATAATGAGATGGAGACAAATATTTTGTCTGGTGATGTTTCTCCAGGGGGTTCTGACGGTGCACTTGCAGGCAATCCTGAACATTCCGCAAATAATTTAGATTTGCTTTTTCCAGTGCTTTCCTTTATTGTCATCTTCTCAGGAGGCCAAATTGGGATCAGTCACCTTCGGCTCTTTTTCTTCAATTGATAAATCGAGTGTGTGATGTTTTGGGTCTTTCCCCAGTTGCTTTTGAGTCTGCACCTTCCTTGCTGGTGGAAAGGTCTGAGGGTGAATATTTAGTTCTACCTCCATCCCCTGATAATGTGTTTCATGCAGAGAGGTTTACTGCTCAGTTATATGAAGGGACAGTTATGCTTTGACTGCCATATTTATCAGAACAACATACTTTAGCCTACCACTGCCAGGTGGATGTGTATTTAGACTTGTAAAGATTAGACCCACTTTGGGAACTATGGGGTTGCAAAACAGAGTCTGTGGCCAATCTGAATAGATCATCATTTTCTAGGAATCGTCTGACCCTAGTTATGGTGCTAATATATTTTTATACTTTTGTTGGAAGCCACTTGGCAATTGTCACATCAATTTGATGATAAGTTGGGACCATTGTTACCATCTACCTTGGTTTGTCTGTCAGCTTCTGTACTTTCCCTAGTCTCTTGGCTGATATGTTGTTGGCAGGCGTTCATCTACTGGCTGCTACCCTCCGTGAGTTACGTGAGGCCCTCTTTCTCGGACCCTTGATTTTTGCAGCCATTCCAGAGCCTTTGGAATCAAGGATTGATGTCACCTGTCTGCATTCATACCCATCATTGTTGGGTTCTTCTAGATTCCATCCATGTCCACCGACGGCAGTGACTACTGTACGCCTTTGAGGTCTGTGGGAACTTGCCTCAGAGAATTTGTAGATGTGTGGAAAACCTTTACCAATAATCCATGGGTATCTACAGGTCCTTGCATCAGGATTAGTCATTCAGTTCACATCTCCACCACCATTATCCATCCAATCTGTAGTGTTTATGCCTCCCGCAGATCCTCGGGTTTTGGAACTTTGTTCAAGGGCTTTGAGAGATTTGTTGGTCAAAGGGCAGGAGAGAGAGTCGTCCCAGTTCTTCCAGGGTTTTATTCCCATCTGTTTGTTGTGCCCAAGAAAACCGGAGATTGGTGTCCAGTCATCAATCTTTCTAGTCTAAATCAATTTCTAGATCCTCCAAGGTTCACAATGGAGTCATTTCTCACTTTGCATTACAAGGGATTGCGGATGACCAAGTTCGATGTTGCTGATACCTATCTGCAAGTTCCCATAGGAGTCATCTTGCCACTATCTGCATTTTGTGCACAAGGGACAGGTGCTGCAGTTCAGGGCTCTGTCTATGACTGATCAGATCTCAATCATTTGTTATGTCCAGTGAGGGCCTTGAACTGTTGTTACCCACATTAACACCTTTAAAGTGCTAGACAATGACTTTTTATTCATTGGGATCCTTCAGTTCTCGTGTTTTATCTATCCCCGTTACTTTGTGAGTACAAAAATTGATCCATATCAGGTATTCTAGGCTCTCTCTGAAGGTGAGGAGACTTCTGTGAGTCATGTCTCATCAGATTCATCACATTTCTATGTCTTTAGTGGCCTGGTTGAATTGCCTGCTGGAGGACATTGTGCGGGCTGGAATGTGGACCTTACCCAATATTTGTATCTCATTATTTACATGATTTGGCAGTATCTTCCTCTGAGGATTTTTGACTACCCCTTTTAGCTGTTTTAACCACATCTGCTAGATTATAAGTATATGTGAGTATCTTCATTACTAATATTATTTCATCTTTACTTTCTAGGTTCCCTTTCCTCTTTTTCACAGAATCCCACTCTGTGGCGAGTGTTGCTCAGGCAGGTGTGCTTTTATCAAACCTATTCCACACTAGCAACTATTAACACAACATACTTTATCTAGGTTGCAACAGGCTCTGTAAAAATGAGGCGTTCCATAAGACTGCCTAGAGGCAGACCAGGTGGTATTACTGTACTATGCTGAACCACTATTCATGGACTATTAGGAGCAAAGCACAAGGGGATATTGCCCATCCCTCCCAATCATTGAATTGAATAAATCAGGGTTGGTTTGCTTAAAAAATTCAGGGAACTTGGTTCACCTATTGCACTGTTTCCAGAGCACTGTTCCTCAGGACTCCTCAGTGTGCATTACTCCCTCCCTCATATTCTACAATTGGATCTAGGGAGTCCTTACCATGCCTGGTTGCCAGTCACTGGGGTGGTGAACAGAGGATATTTGTTCAGACTGGTTGACTGCATTTCCTCCACTCTTGGAGTAGTGGGCAAAGTTGGGGGTCCTCCTGGATTTTTGATTTTTTTTTCTCCAGAATTCAGATATTTCAGACCTTTATCACCTTTAAAAGATTAATTTTTTTATATACATGTCAAATTCCACTGGAAGTGAATGAATTAGGTTCTGAGTGAAGAGCATACTTGTTCTGGCTGTAGTACGATTACCCCATTAGGGTGCTAATCTTCTATTGGCATGCTCACAATCTATGCAGATGCATTCTGTATGGATAATGCCCTTGCAGGCCCCTCCACCTTATCGATGTGAGATTCTAGCTGTAGTGTATTTCCAATAATACTTACCTCCTCTCACATGCTCCTGCCCTTCCTCCCAACTAAGAGGTGATGTTAGAGACTGTGAATTGGATCAGTCTTGAAAAAGTAATAATATTATCTGAATGAGGTGCTTATAGTGAGAAAAAATCAGACCAATGCTTAGATGGGTAAAGGAAGGAAACCCTAGCAGTCGAGTAATAGCTGTAGTGTGAGAGGAGGTAAATATTATTGGAAATATATTTTTGATTAAAGAAAATGTTAACTTCTGTGACCACATTGAGTTTTGAAAACATTATAAAGAGATCTTACAGCATTGTGTGGCCATAATGAAGTTGGTAAACCTTGTAATTAGGTAACAGTATTCTGTGACTTCAGTAAGGTTGGTAAGCTTTAAAATGAGATGAGAGCATTGTGTGACACAGGTTTATAAACCTGATTATGAGATAATATTTTGTGGCTACAGTGAGCCTAATAAGGTTGGTAAGCCTTAAAATGAGATGAGAGCATTGTGTGACACAGGTTTATATACCTGATTATGAGATAACAATATTTTGTGGCTACAGTGACCCTAATAAACCTTATAATGGGATATATTAGCATTCTTTGACAGAACTGATTGAGTAGAACCTTATATTTTGGTGGTGCATTTCGGATTATTTTGCCAAAGAATATACACTTTACTAGTCTGTTAAATTTGGTATGCTGTTATACTTCATGTGTGAATGTTAAATTACTTTCAACATATTTACTGACCCATGCACTTTATTTTTGATTTTTGACTTGCAATGTATAGGTTTTAATAGCAATATATACAAGTTAAAAGACATTTACATATCTTTGAAAAATTAAGATATAAAACCGTTAGGATTTCAACACTTTGACGTGGAGTATATGACACTGCAATTTGTAAAATTTGATCCTCTTTATAACACACTAGAAGACATATTACAAAAAAAAAACCTAGGTTTACATTTTGTTTAATACAGAATTCAAATTCCTTATGTTGTTTATAGGTAGTAAACTACTTTTTGAAGTGGAACAAAAGTAATTAGGTACACTACCAATATCTACATTTTTACATGATAACTGAGATATTCAAGGTGGTAAATGTTGTAACAGTTAAAATTGTGGCCCCCCCCCCCCCCAAAAAAAAAGATCTCTACTCTTAATACACATTGTGGTTTTACAGCTGTCTTATATTTTACTGTGACTAGTAATGTATTTATTAGACTGAATACGTTTATTTTATAGTTTTATTGTAAAACAGCAATATATGTATATTAAGGTAAGCTCTGCTGAACTTGTCCAAGAAATCCACCAACTGCTAATGGATCGAGAGGACACCTGCCATCGTACTTGTTTCTCTCTGCAGCTAGATGGCATTACTTTAGACAATTTTGCAGAACTTAAGAACATAGAAGGACTAAAAGAAGGATCTGTGATAAAAGTAGTTGAAGGTAAGTTGCTAATTTCAGTGTTTGAGGTTTGCATGTCTGGATTAATGTTGCCAAAACAGTCTTTAATATTTTGCTCACGTTAATACTTGAAAACAGTTTTTGCTTATATATTGTTCTTCATACAAGCTTCATCAAATGGTACACAAGATGGCACTTTCTACACATCTTAGCAGCATGTTTTGCATTTTAAATGGTAAACCTCGTGTTATAGTTATTAAAAATGCACATAAGTTAGACTGGTTGTATTTATTACTCTGGATAAAGCCAGATGTGATCCTTGTTTATTTGATTTTCTAAACAGAATTGTAGGTTCAGTAATATGCTTCATCTTTGAAATTCAACAGATTTCATCGAATAATTTGAAAGTTGATGAATGGAATGCATTGAATCTTAAATGAAGAGGATGACTGAATTATAAAAATATACAACATTTGAATCAAAGAAGTTTGTTAAAAAAAGATAGATTCTGAATTTGAGAGTAAGCCACATAGCTGTATTGTGCAATAAGTATTATATATTATTGTTAATGTATTTCTTTCATTTTAATGTAAGCTATATTTAGTTGTGTATCAGTACATAATTTAACAGCACATGTGAAGTTGAAACAGGTCACAGCAAGTGTTAGTGATGGTGTTTTGTGGTGATGAGTGGTATGTGAGATAAGACCCTGACTACTAATATCAATGTTGCCCTTGGAGAGAGTGTTGGGCCCTCCAGTAGCTGTTATTATGGAATGGGAGTGTTTTCACTTGTGGTAGTTATGTATTGAAAGGCCTCGTTGTATTTGAAATGTGAAGATCCGGAACATATAACTTTCATATTTTTCTTCTAGTTAGTAATTCACTTCACTAAAAATCTTTTGTTTTGTTTTTCACACAACTTTTATAAATATAAATTTATTCATTTAATAAATATTTCTGCTTAAACTGAAAATACTATAATTCTCAGTGAGCTTTTACTGTCCTTGTTATGCATTATTGTGTTATTTTATTTCATTTTTGTCTAGTTTTATTTTTCCTAAATCTGAGATGTTGCATATACAGTAGATATTTTATGTATAATTTGTGTAGGATATAGCTTACATTAATATATCATTTTGGTTTCAAGTTTGGAAGGAAAATTGTAAGAACATTTTATCTTGTCCTAATCATAATTTTGATAATAAGTAAATATAATGGCCAATTATTAATGGTAAACAATATATTCTAGTTACTGCTTTAGTTGTATATGTATGCTTATAGTCATGTTCTATTGGTATTGCTAGAGCCGTATACAATGAGGGAGGCCCGTATTCATGTACGGCATGTTCGAGATCTCCTGAAGTCTCTGGATCCTGCCGATGCTTACAATGGGGTTGACTGCAGCTCTTTGTCCTTTCTAAATGTGGTTACCCAGGGTGATATTTTAGGTAAGACAACATTTTATGTTTTGCAAGGTGATTTTTAAGTCAGCTAGTCAAGGTTGTATTTACTTAAATGAGAAATAGTGGCTCATTACTATTGCCTAATTGACCAGTTATTGACCAGGGTGATATTTTAGGTAAGACAACATTTTATGTTTTGCAAGGGGGTTTTTAAATCAGCTAGTCAAGGTTGTGTTTACTTAAATGAGAAATAGTGGCTCATTACTATCGCCTAATTGACCAGTTATTGAAAAGTAAATCTTATTATAAGATGTAACAAATTCATTACTGATATGAATCTCCAAAGTTATCAGTTTTATTTACAAGATAGGAAATGAACTTCAAACTAACACGATATTTTGTCGAAATGTTTCTCAATCAGACACATTGATGACTGTTCACATTAAGGCAGAAATAATATTCTTAATGCTCATACTATGCATTAGCAAACACACTCAGGATATAGCAGTGTAAAAGTAAACAAAAACCAACTAAAAACAATGTTCTTGACACTCAAAATTTCATGGGTGGTATGTGTGATAAAGTAGTAATTAGTGTAATATGATAGAGAATGTGGTAGCATGTGATAAAGTAGTAATTAATGTAATATGATAGAAAATGTGGTAGTATGTGTGATAAAGTAGTAATTAGTGTAATATGATAGAGAATGTGGTAGCATGTGATAAAGTAGTAATTAATGTAATATGATAGAAAATGAATTGTAATATTTTGGTACCAGTTCATCATGGTAATGAATGTAATAAGATGCTAACTAGTAAACCCTGCTATAAGATGTAGTACAATACTAGTACACCACCATTACTAGTACAAACCAGTGCATCATGGTAATGAATGTAACAAGACGCTAACTAGTAAACCTTGCTATAAGATGTAGTACAATACTAGTACACCACCATTACTAGTATAAACCAGTGCAACTTGGTAATGAATGTAATAAGACAGTAATTAGTAATTAGTGTAATATGCTAGAGAATGTGGTAGTATGTGTGATAAAGTAATAATTAGTGTAATATGATAGAGAATGGCTTTATCACACATACTGCCACATTCTCTAGCATATTACACTAATTACTACTTTATCACACATACTACCACATTCTCTAGCATATTACACTAATTACTACTTTATCACACATACTGCCACATTCTCTAGCATATTATAGCAGTTAATATGTTCTCTAGCATTATGCAATAGTGTTTTATCACATTTATTATCATCATACACTTGAATATTACTAAATTCTCTAGCACATTATTGTGATGTTCCTATATCATATTATACCCAGTAGCATGATATACTTGCTTCTTACAACAATCATCACCATTCTGTACATGTGTCTTATATCCAGTATTATGATATACTTGCTTCTTACAACATTCATTACCATTCTGTACAAAATAGCCCATTTACACCATCGGACAGTTTCTAGTTACAATACAAAAAATTACAGTAATCAAGCTAGCCACCTCTGGGTGATGCAAGCCCAAAGTGATAAAAGTGGAAATATTCCTTATTTTAGTGTCTTTTTTTTTTTTATCCCTCATCTCTGGTGAAAGTCCTAAAATAAAGTTGCCCATGTTTATTGTTGGACAGTTTCCAGTTATCATATCAAACATTATGGTAATCAAGCCAGGTAACTCTGGATAATGAATGCTAACACACATACATGCACACACAAAATGGATTATCTTTGTAGTAAGATTGGGTGTTTCACTAGTGTTGTTTCACTATAGTCAGAAGTTAATTGGAATTAGTTAAAATGCTAGTAATTCTGAAGTTCTATTTTCTTCCCAAATAGTGTCATTTTTGTGTATCTCATTTTATTTGTATATGATTTTTCCTTGATTGATCTATTGGAATGTTTTGTCAGAAGCTACTTGAAATAAAAAAAAAAAAAAACAACAACAAAAAGCAAATTTATCAACAAATGATTGTTGAATTTCTTTGTGATTAGTTTGTTTTTCTTCTCCATACAGATACAACACAGCTACAATTGGATCAGACTGTTTTGTACACGTGATGTACTGTTATAGTAGGTTTGATTTCTGTCTTAAAGCAGATGAAAGTAAAATGTTCAGAAAAATACTTACCGATCTGTAACTTTTTCAGAGAAAAAGAAGAGTAGACCCGATTCTGTTGACTGTACTCCACCTGATTATATTATGCCAGGAAGTAAAGAACGCCCTCTGGTGCCTCATCAGCCACAAGCCAAAGAACAAAAAGTAATAAAGAAAAGTTATCAAAGAATGCAAAATTGTTATAGTAACACTTTTGTTCGTATGTGTAATGCATTAAGTTAGTTTTTGTTTTATTGACACCAATATATATAACATTTTTTTATTTTAGTTTTTATGTAACATTTTAAGTCTTTCTTTTAAGTATGAGGAAAATTTAACATTCATTACAGATTTAACTGTTTGGAACAATAGACCAGTAGCCAGCAGTAACTTGAGTGTGACTGTGAAACTATATTTTACTGAAACAATAAAATGTGCAATTTATTTTAAATTTGTGTAACTGTCAAAGGGTCCTCAGGCTCTGAAAGTTTTGACAACCAGTGGATGGAATCCTCCACCAGGGATTCGTAAATTACATGGTAAGAAGAAGCTTTTCTTCTAAAGTTCACAAATAATATGGTAATACTATGGTTTCCCTTCCCTTGATTTGTGAAATTTTCAAATGTGGATGTTAAAGATATAAAGTAAAACTGTTTATCACATCTAAACATTTATTAGAATCTTTGCATCTCCTTCCCAGAATTAAGAAATTATTTGAAAAAAAAATAGGTGGTAAGGTTTGTATTGTTCTTATATGCTGAAATAAATTAATAAAATCTCTAAATAGTAGCTTGTGTGGAAAAATAAAAATTACACCTGGTGGTTTTGAGAAAACTGTTTTTGAGCTCTTCCACATTGTAATAGCAAGATAATAATGAAACTTTTGTTATACTAGGGGACTTGCTGTATCTTTATGTAGCCACGCTGGAGGATAAGCGAGTATTTGTTACAGCATCTACTCGAGGATTTTATGTTAATCAGTAAGTTTTGTTTATGGTATGGTAGCTATTGTCGTTTATTAGCAGCTGTTATTTTAGTTATTTGTGTAATTTTTTGGTATATAGTGTATTAATTAGTTGTTAGTGTTAAGATTAACAATACCAAACATTGTTGGTGTTAAGGTTTATAATGCTGAACATTATTGGTGTTAAAGATTTCAATACTGAACGTGAAATGTTAGCGGCCAAATAATCGTAAGGGGATGGGGTTTCAGAAACATTTAATTTCAGTTTTACACATTTTAGTTGATGTTTCTTTGACATTTCAATACTTCAGTTTCATTGGATCTTGTTTACAGTTGAAATCTTTCTTAATGATG